GTGTTCACTTTCCCGTAGTAATATAATGGCTTTGATTCCTAACTTTGACAAACTTGGCAGCAAGTTAGTCTGGACACTGCTTGTGAGCAATTTTATAAACATAATTAAACTCCAGTTGCTTTGCTTCTGTCTTCGAAATTCAGTATATCCAGTTGTTGTAATTCATCCTGGCCTACAACCTACCTTGGACCGGTCCAGGATGAATCTCACCATTTTGTCCTGGATGATTTGTAGTCTTTTTTTTTTTTTAATTAAATCAGAGTACCGTGAAGAACAAAAATAATATATACGATAATTGATTAAGAGCTAGACATAAGGTCCTGCGAGCTTCAGTAGATAAACACCACCTGCTATACAGGAATTTTAGCTGGCATTCGCTTTTTTACTACATTATTCACTATTGATAATTATACTTATGTTTACCTGTGCCTAAATAAACTTACAGACGACATCTCCAGAGTACGACAACCAGGAAGTGTTGCTACTTTGTGAACGTGAAGGGTATACCTGGGGATACTTTGTGAACGTGAAGGGTATACCTGGGGATACTTTCTGAAGGTGAAGGGTATCCTGGGGATACTTTGTGAACGTGAAGGGTATACCTGGGGATACTTTGTGAACGTGAAGGGTATACCTGGGGATACTTTGTGAACGTGAAGGGTATACCTGGGGATAATTTGTGAACGTGAAGGGTATACCTGGGGATACTTTGTGAACGTGAAGGGTATACCTGGGGATACTTTCTGAAGGTGAAGGGTATACCTGGGGATACTTTGTGAACGTGAAGGGTATACCTGGGGATACTTTGTGAACGTGAAGGGTATACCTGGGGATACTTTGTGAACGTGAAGGGTATACCTGGGGATACTTTCTGAAGTGAAGGGTATACCTGGGGATACTTTGTGAAAGTGAAGGGTATACCTGGGGATACTTTGTGAACGTGAAGGGTATACCTGGGGATACTTTGTGAACGTGAAGGGTATGCTTGGGGACACTTTTGGAAGATAAAGGGGATACCTGGGGAACGTGAAGGGTATACCTGGGGATACTTTCTGAAGGTGAAGGGTATACCTGGGGATACTTTGTGACGTGAAGGGTATACCTTGGGATACTTTGTGAACGTGAAGGGTATCCTGGGGACACTTTTTAAAGATAAAGGGTATACCTGGGGATACTTTGTGAAATATGAAGGGTATCCGGGATAATTTGTGAACGTGAAGGGTAAACCTGGGGATACTTTGTGAACGTGAAGGGTATACCTGGGGATACTTTCTGAAGGTGAAGGGTATACCTGGGGATACTTTGTGAACGTAAAGGGGTATACTGGGATACTTGTGACGGGGAAGGGTATACCTTGGGATACTTTGTGAACGTGAAGGGTATACCTGGGGATACTTTGTGAACGTGAAGGGTATGCCTGGGGACACTTTTTGAAGATAAAGGGTATACCTGGGGATACTTTGTGAATATGAAGGGTATACCTGGGGATAATTTGTGAACGTGAAGGGTAAACCTGGGGATACTTTGTGAACGTGAAGGGTATACCTGGGGATACTTTCTGAAGGTGAAGGGTATACCTGGGGATACTTTGTGAACGTGAAGGGTATACCTGGGGATACTTTGTGAACGTGAAGGGTATGCCTGGGGACACTTTTTGAAGATAAAGGGTATACCTGGGGATGCTTTGTGAATATGAAGGGTATACCTGGGGATAATTTGTGAACGTGAAGGGTAAACCTGGGGATACTTTGTGAACGTGAAGGGTATACCTGGGGATACTTTCTGAAGGTGAAGGGTATACCTGGGGATACTTTGTGAACGTGAAGGGTATACCTGGGGATACTTTGTGAACGTGAAGGGTATACCTGGGGATACTTTGTGAACGTGAAGGGTATACCTGGGGATACTTTCTGAAGGTGAAGGGTATACCTGGGGATACTTTGTGAACGTGAAGGGAATGCCTGGGGATACTTTGTGAACGTGAAGGGTATACCTGGGGATACTTTTTGAAAGTGAAGGGTATACCTGGGGACACTTTTTGAACGTGAAGGGAATGCCTGGGGATACTTTGTGAACGTGAAGGGTATACCTGGGGATACTGTGTGAAGGTGAAGGGTATACCTGGGGATACTTCCTCAGGGTGAGAGGTGAGGGGTATACCTGGTCGAGACTTAGCTCCTGGCGGGGCCTGGAGCTAAGTCTCGATCCCTGCAACCACAATTGAGTACGCATATTGTGTATATATTTATATTATATATAAATATATATATATATATATATATATATATTATTTATATATATATTATATATATATATTATATAATATATATACTATTATATATATATTTAAAATATATATATAATATATATATATTATAATATATATAATATATATACTATATATATTATATATTATATATATATATTATATATATATATTATTAATATATATATATTTATAATATATGTCGTGCACGATAGGCAGAACATTGCATCTTGGCTTAAATAGCAACGCTCATCTTGCCATATAGGACAAGTGAAAATTTGTGTGTGCAATAATTTCGCCAAAATCATTCTGAACCTTACGAAAAAATATATTTGATTGTGTTTGTTTAGTACTAAATTATTGTAACGTATTTAAAATATATTTAGTTGGGTTAGGCTAAAATAAATTGCGCTTGTTATTATAAGGTTAGGTAAGTTTTCTAAGATTCTTTTGGTGTAAAATTAAAAATTTTTTGTATTAACATTAATGAAAAAACTATATCTTTAAACGTATAAGAGAAATTTCAGAAAGAACTTAATTTTAAATGAGTTTTTGCTAATTGAACCAGTTTTACATATTCGGCACGATATATATATATATTATATATATATATATATATATATATATATATATATATATATATATTAATATATATATTATAATTATTTTTTTTCGTAAGTGGAGATTTAGCGTGAAGCGTGAAATTTAGCAAAAGATTTTATTTAATTTTCATTGAGTTTTGGAATAACAAAATATTGTCAGGGGGAAACTTTATTATCATACAGAGTGAAAATAAAGGTTTTTGTAAAACACGATCACTCTTCACATAACTGAGAGCTGTTCCTAACTCATAAACCAACATAGTTTAATATAATCATTTACCAAAGCAAATAAATTATGCTAAATATGTACTGAGAAATGAAAGCTGGTATCAGTAGTGAAGGTTGTTAGAGAGTGAAGGTTTAGTCTGCTGGAGTGTGGAGGAGGACGATGGAAACCTTTCTTATGGAACAGGTCGCGTGCCACAGTCCACCTGAGAGATACAAACACAAGGTTAACAGCAACACCAGTCAATCTAGTTATATTAAGCTCAAGTGTCATATTGTAAACAAGAGCCTCGTCTTTCTCTTCAGCTGTAAATATTGTCAACAAGAGCCTCGTCTTTCTCATCAGCTGTAAATATTATCAATGTTAAGAGAAATATAACATTTTGTTAGTACGTTCCACAAAAAAACAAAGTTTCTCGCATATCCATTTTCCGTAAAAGTGTAAAAAATAAAAAAATTACTTTCATTAGTTGTTCTCACAGTATAGACGCTTTGTTACTCTCTCACTTGATTCAAAGTTCCTATAAGTGATCTGACATAGATTTAATAAGTTATGGGCTACCAACAGGAGGAAGCAATCACATGCTACTCAAATTTAAAAACTTTGTAGAAACAGAAGCGGAGACAGAGGAGGGACAAATAGTAAACCAAATTACAGAAGATGGGACTATGCAGACATGAAGATTTTCTAAAGGGAATACAGTGGGACATGGGATTGAAAAAAACAGCCAACGAGATGTGGATGACCTCACCAGAAAGTGCCTGGATTCAACGGGTGAACTTTGTACCTAACAAGTGTGAGAAGGCAAGATTACGAAAGAGCCGCGGGATTAACAAGCTGCAAAGAGATCAAGGAAGGTGCAAACGCCCTGTGGAAAATAAAAATGCAGAGGATGAAAGAGAATGAGGAGGCAAACAGACTAGCGAGGAATGACCATGCAAAGATACAAAAAGAAGCAGATCATCAGTTTGAGAATGATACAGCAGCAAACGTCAAATAAATGGAGACCCAAAGTTACACAGTCACGTATGATGGTTGGTTACTCACGGAAGAAGATACAGACGTTTACAAGGAATTAAACAGTTGATTTAAGAAGATATTCACTGAAGAAAAAGAATGTTGCCAGAATGCAGGGTTGTAAGGGTTAATCAGTATATACTAGATATCATTCATAACCAAAAGAGGAACTGATGAAGCTACAAAAAGAGTTACACATTAAATGCATGAGACCTGATGGAATATATCATGGGTACTGTAAAGACTGAAGAAGTGTGTGAACCCATAGCAAAAGATCTACAAAAGTGTCCCCCGGGAACGGGAAACCTTTCCCGACAACTGAAACACAGCAATATACAGCACTATAGAAACAGGATGACAGACAAGAGGCAGGGGAAATTTTAGGCCAAATGTCACTGATATATATATACCCACAGTTTGTAAAAGATTGGTGAAGCATCTAGAAGGTGGGAATTTTTTTTTTTACAGAGTATCAGCATGGGTTTCGAGAGGTATATCTTGCTTCACTAACCTACTGACTTTTACAAAAAAAATAATAGAAATCAAGGACGAAGATAAGGATGGGTAGACTGCATATTTTTGGATTTTAGGAAAGCATATGACTCGCCAGTTAGTGGAATGTGTGAAGTCCTACAGAGGATCAAGAAGTACGTAACAAACAGTAGACGAGTGTGAGGTATGGTCATTTGGGTTTTAAATTTTGGGAAAGTGTAAGAATGGGGTTCCCAAGGATCAGTTCTATGACCTTTATTATTCGTATCAAACGTAAATGACTTTACTAAGGAGACAGAATTATATGTTTCTTTTGTTTCCTGATAACTTAAAACAATGGGAAGAATACAAATGAATGAAATACAGGCAAAAGAGTGAGCTTAGACAAAACTGAAATAATGGTTTAAAGAAAAGTTACTAAAATTTAACCCAATCAAGTGTAAAGTCAAAAAAATCCACTTGTGTACTTAATGTAAGAGATCGGCAACGAGTTTATTTTCATCAGTGAATTTATTCGAGTCTCCAACTTGCTGAGTCTGGGGAGAAAATCTTGAGTACAGGGCTAACGATACGAAATCATCAACATACACTGATAGGCCTGCCCGTCTAAGGGATCAGGACCGACTGACAGCTTTAAATTAATTGACTGAGGTCGACATTTCTCCCCTGTGTATAGAGTTTTGTCAAGATAGATTTGACAAAGCTCTACACAGAGCGAAATTTTGTCCCATCTTTAAAGTTTGTTCTGTAACACATGTTCCTCACTATTGTTGTAGTACGCTTTCAAAAATATTTTTTCAACATTTTTTTAAATTTTAATGTTGAGTTTCCAAGAGCAAGAGTTTTATGGGACAACGTTATCCCTCATAATAAAAGTTTGTTCCATAATTGGTCTCTTTTTCATTACTCTGCTGTATCCAGTCTTCAAGATCTTGTTTTACGTCAATATCGTTAATTACAGAAAAAATTTTTATGAAAGAGAGAAATAGCCCTCTTTTTTTTCAAGATAACATCAGGGTCAGATTTTTAAATTTTTTTATGTGCTTATACTAATATTTTTGAATCACTGTAAAGCTGGTAAATTTCCCGAGAGTCAATTAGATGAAACAAATTTCAGTAGTCACGTGATAAAGACCCAAGATCGATCGAAAAGTCTTCTTTACTTTGCTCTTCAATTTGGTGGTTTTTCTGTTCATCCTCGGTGTTGATGTTTTTTTATTCTTCAATGGATTCTTTTTCGTTTCTTTTAATCGGGGAAAACGCTAAGCCTGTAAGGGGGTTACACAAATAACCCGCACATTAGAAAGAGGAGCTTACGGCGACGTTTACGGGCCGACTTGGACCATTTACAAAGTCACACTAACTGGTCTCTAAAACTGTCTTTCTTACTTCCAACTTTAACAGTCGCCGTGCAGGTGTTCAGAGTATCGTGTTTACATTATGTTGGTAGTTAAAGGTGTTCAGGGTATCGTGCTTACATTAAAGTTGGTAGTTACAGGTTGTCAGGTATCCGTGTTTACGTTGAGTGAGAGTTACAGTATTTCCCTTACATTTTTCGGATAATTGCAGGGTTTTCAGGTCATCGTCCCAGAGAAGGGGGCCGGGGCATTGTTTCTCCCAGGGCCCGACCATCATAGGAGCACTTGCAGAACTTGGAACAATCATTCGGGAAAAGCGTAAGCTCAGGAAAAATTCCCCCAGCTCCGGGGGGCATAGGCAGAGACCTCCTCCGGGCACAGCGTTGGGGGCTTTTGGTGGTGGCGGGCGGCTGCCCCGCAGTGTCCCCGTCAGTAGAGAAAAACAAGTCCTCATCTGTTAAAAGGGGGTCTTATGGAGGTTTAGAATTTGGGGGAGAGGATGAAGGGACAAGGAAAAAGGGTAGGGCAAAAATAGGACAAGAAAGGGAATTTAGATAAGGATGAACACAGTATAAGGAAAGGGGCAGTATAAAGTGTTGAGCTATTATTTATATATGTTGCCAGGTTTAAAATCCAGTTTACCAGGCACAAAACACTCCAACCCGTGTTTTAAAATAAAAAACCATATTTTAAACTAACAACCCGTGTTTTTAAACTAACAACCAGTGTTTTAAACTAACAACCAGTGTTTTAAACTAACAACCAGTGTTTTAAACTAACAACCAGTATTTAAACTAACAACCAGTTTTTAAACTAACAACCAGTGTTTTTAAACTAACAACCAATGTTTTAAACTAACAACCAGTGTTTAAACTAACATCCAGTGTTTTAAACTAACAAACTATCCCAAGTACACAAGGGTGTAACAGCTATGTAAACTATCCAAGGTATACCAAGGTGTACAGGAATTACACTAAACCATTCAAGGTATAATAAACTTCCTAGGGGGTAAAAGACAGTGAGGACCTGTGACAAACCATTCTAGGAGCTAAACCATCCGGGACGTAGATGTGAATAATGAAGAACATTAGTGAGATTAACTTGATAATGAGAAAATGACAATTACTTCTCTTCCTTCTAACATTTCAGTCACTCACCTTCCTGGCTGTGTTTCTAGGTTCCTGTCCTTGACCCACCACTGAGACACTCACCTTCCTGGCTGTGTTTCTAGGTTCCTGTCCTTGACCCACCAAATGAGACACTCACCTTCCTGGCTGTGTTTCTAGGTTCCTGTCCTTGACCCACCACTGAGACACTCACCTTCCTAGCTGTGTTTCTAGGTTCCTGTCCTTGACCCACCACTGGGACACTCACCTTCCTGGCTGTGTTTCTAGGTTCCTGTCCTTGACCCACTACTGAGACACTCACCTTTCTGGCTGTGCTTCTAGGTTCCAGTGCTTAACCCCACCACTGAGACACTCGCCTTGCTGGCTGTGCTTCTAGGTTCCAGTGCTTGACTCACCACTGAGACACTCACCTTCCTGGCTGTGCTTCTAGGTTCCTGTTCTTGACCCACCACTGAGACACCTTCCTGGCTGTGCTTCTAGGTTCCAGTGCTTGACTCACCACTGAGACACTCACCTTCCTGGCTGTGCTTCTAGGTTCCAGTGCTTAACTCACTACTGAGACACTCACCTTGCTGGCTGTGCTTCTAGGTTCCGGTCCTTGACCCAACACGTGAGAGACCTTCCTGGCTGTGCTTCTAGGTTCCAGTGCTTACTCACCACTGAGACACTCACCTTCCTGTGTGCTTCTAGGTTCCAGTGCTTGACTCGCCATCACCTGCTCTCATATATACGTCACTGAGTTTGGGAATCACCATCTGAAGACGAATATTTTTCTCTTCCAACACCGAGCATTCTTATTTTTATGATTACCGTAAGTCACGAGCACGCTTATGTCCCGGTTATCTTGTGCCATGAACCACCAGACATGCTTGTGTTTACCATGTTATCTTGTGCCATGAACCACCTGACACGCTCGTGTTACGGTTTATCTTGTGTCATGGAGCGCGAGGCACGCTTGTCTCCGTGTAATCATGCTTGTGTTATCTTGTAGAATGAGTCCTATGGCATGCTTGTGTTATCTTGTAAAATGAGTCCCCTGACATGCCTGTGTTATCTGCAGAATGGTTCCCCTAGGCATGCTTGTGTTATCTTGCAAATGAGTCCCCTGACATGCTTGTGTTATCTTGTAGAATGAGTCCCCTACATGCTTGTGTTGTAGAATGACTCCCGTGGCATGCTTGTGTTACTCCTAGAATGAGTCTCCTGACATGCTTGTGTTATCTTGCAGAATGAGTCCCCTAGCATGCTTGTGTTATCTTGCAGAATGAGTCCCCTAGCATGCTTGTGTTATCTTGCAGAATGGTCTAGCAGGCACGATGCTTCTTAGTTACTTTAATCATGGAGTTAACACTGAAGGCAATGAGGACACATTGAGCTTAGGAATGGGAGGCATTTAGATCTCTCCAATGATAGGGAGGTTAAGTCCACTTTCTGAATCAAGAGTCTCTCACCGGCATCAAGGCAACTTCCCTGAGGGGATGCTACCAGTAAGACTGGGGAGGATAAGAGTCTATAAGACAACACAGCATTATCTCATTCCCACACTAGTATGCTTGTTACCTACATTCCCACACTAGTATGCTTGTTACCTGCATTCCCACACTAGTATGCTTGTTACCTACATTCCCACACTAGTATGCTTGTTACCTACATTCCCACACATGTATGCTTGTTGCCTACATTCCCACACTAGTATGCTTGTTACCTACATTCCCACACATGTATGCTTGTTGCCTACATTCCCACACTAGTATGCTTGTTACCTACATTCCCACACATGTATGCTTGTTGCCTACATTCCCACACATGAATGCTTGTTACACCAGGCATACTAGTGTGGACGAGGTATTAACACAACACTTGAGAGACACTGTTGGGATTGTCGTCCTATTTTACTGAATATGTAATTCAGTGGGATACCCTTGCATCTTTGTCAAACACTTAGCATTTATTAAACGCCTTAGCAGGGCCACTGTGATAGTTGCACCTTGGAGAATATCGAATAAACAATGCATTACCAAATCAACCGGACTGTGATTTATATGTTGGACTACGTACGGCCAGCAGTAGCAGCCATGTTAACTAAGCACTGATACACCGGGAGGTTTGGTCAATTACTGGGCTGCGGGGGCGTAAATCAAAGGAACACCCTCCATGTAGACTCCAGGTAGTGGCTATATTAAGGGCAAAGGCCATCTTGTGTCAAAGAGGTCGACACTTTCCAGGGATTTTCTACTCTTAGTAGTTTGATTCTTCTCTGGACATTGTCATCGATTTACTTTGGTGTTGCTCTTAGTTTATCGACCCCTATCTTCGCCGAACACAGGTTTGTCTATGGTAAAACATTGCCAGATCAACTAAATCTTCATTGTTTCATTTGTTGAAGAAAAAAGGAAAGAAAATATGACAAAGTCAACAATTCTACCAAACAAAGACTCGTTACAGCGTGTTACAAACTCCAAGGCATTCCTGGTTACGTGACCAGCGGGAGCCAGAAGTGTCTAGGACTCTAGATGGAGTCACCTTGATACCCTAAAAGCAAGACAAGTACAGAGTGGGACTACACAGGTGCATCTACACTGCTCCCGACACTTATCACCGATATAACGAATCTGAAGGTTGCTGATATTATATTATATATATATATATATTATATTATATTTATATATAATATATATATATATATATATATTATATATATATAAATAATAATATAGTAATACATATATGTTAAATATGTAATATTATGTATATTACATATAGTATGTATATTATATATTTTATATTATGTATATATACTAGATATATTAATATGGGTTATATTTATTATTTTTATCACATGGCCCATCCACCAAGCAGGGTGGCCCAAAAAAAAACTTACCTCTTCCCCAAAACTGTTTCCCAAATTTTAA